CCTCCGCATCCGGGGAGTGATGGAGTCGGTGGGCACCAGAGACCTGCAGGCGTATGTCACAAGCCTCCAGAACTGCCACAAGATTTACTGCATTTGGACAGAGTTCACCGAACGGCGAGGCCTAGCTTTCTGCCACCAAACACCCCAGAGACATCCTACTCAGAATGCATTACTACCACGCAAAGAAAGCGGTTCTGAGGGGGAGCAGAGCCACAAAAGAATGGCCTGAGAAATACAAAGGCATCTCCATCTTTGCCGACATATCCACATTTACCCTCAAGAAAATGAGGACTTATCAAGACATCACAGCACGGCTCCGGGAGAATCATCTGCCTTACCGCTGGCGTTACCCTGTCAAGCTGCTGATCCAAAAAGAGGGGAAGACAACTGTGGTAAGAGGATGAACAGATCCTCCGAGACGACGGGGCCTCGAGCAGCGGGCCTCTCATGGGAAAGCGACTGAGCAACTAAAAACCTTCTCTGAATGGAAGAAAGCAAGAAGCCATTGAGAGTCTTTTTGGAACCGTGTCTGCACACTGGACTTAAGAAACAGCAAGTACCTAAGACCCCGAATCTATTCACATAAATTGCTTCACCTACGCAGGGGGTACAGTGAGACACTCGGTCTCCAGAGGTACCATACATATATTAGTTAAATAGAACAGATCCCCTTATACTTTTCTCCATTTTAACAAAAAAAAAAAAAGAGGGGTAACCGTTATTGTAGCCAGGAACAGGGAAGGGGGGAGAGAGATCTCCGTATATGGATCATACATGGTACAGTGGTTCAGTTGACCTTAACTCCTAGGCTGAATGCACCTCTCAATAGATGGGAACTTGGACATGAGTTACAATGGCTCCCTACGGTTATACTTGTACACCAAATCAAGTGTTGGAAATGTTAAATGTATGCTTTGCCTAATGTTACGGAAAAGCTCTACGGGCCTGCGGGAGGACTCCCTCTGTTACAGTTCTTACAGTCTTACAGTCCACTTGACTAGTTTAACAGGAGTCCCAACCCACGTCTCCGCCGTGAGACATGACAGGCCCAAATGGACTAATACTAAGTTTCCATCTCCTTAGCAGACTGATATTGATAAAGACCTTACAAAAAGAGCAAAAAAACAAAGCAACCCCGGCTGCAAGAGGGGAGAGGGAAATGGATGCATACTGGATGCCCCTCTAGCCTATTAAAATGGATAGCACTACAGGGCCTTACTCAACTGAATTTCTGCAAATTGTAAATATCAAAGACAATAGCTCCCATTCCAGTAATTCATTACAACTTATAAAGGCCACTCGCTTACCAAAGTCTTATAGGCCGCACTGGGTGGGGAGGAGCACACCAGGATAGGAAGCTATCGACTTCTACCCCCGAGGCACCTGCGGGAAGTGCCCAGCCATGTAAACGGCACCATTATATGTTTGTTTTTACTTTTTTTTTTTTTAAACTACATTTCTACTCAGCGGGGGCGTGGCCTGAAGTCCGACAGGCTTGGACGTGTAAGTCCCGAGCTCCTCGCCACCGAGCCATCATTAGCCGTCTGACACCCGCTAGCCTGCCTAAATGGGACGCACGAAAAGGCAGGAGACCCAGCATACCCCCACGGCAGCACCGCCGGAACCGATGGACGGGTTCCTGCAAACCACGCTGGGATCGAGCCGCGAGGCGCACGGCTCCAAGATGGCTCCCGTCTCTCCAGCTTCCTCCTGCTGGGAGCCCGACCAGCCTACTCTGGCTGATATTGGGGCAGAGATCAGGAGACTGGCGGCCAATATGGTCACCAAATCCGACCTACAGTCCCTGACAGCCACCCTCACGACCTCCCTCACGTCAGCGCTCACGGCACTGCGCACAGACATGGAGGCACAAGGCGGACGCATCCAGGCATTGGAAACCCAGGCCCTAGAATCACAGCACCAAGCAACTGCTGCAGACACAGCCTTAACAAGGCAAGGCAACATGCTGCTGGCCCTGCGCAGACAAATAGAGGACCTGGATAACCGGAGCCGCCGCTCAAACATCCGGGTAAGAGGGGTACCAGAGGGTGAGGGGCCGGAAAATGTAGAGGAGCTGCTCACTGTGCTCTTCCTCCAAATCCTGGGGACTGACGCACCGCCAAATATACGCTTCGAGCGTGCACATAGGGCCCTGAGACCCAGAATTAGAGATGGGGACTCCAAGACATTATATGCTGCTTACATTCATTTCCCCTTAAAGACCTCATAATGCAACGGGCCAGGACTAGGCCTACGTGGCGTTATCAAGAGGCAGAGGTCTCCCTATACAACGACCTTTCTCCTACCACGTTAGAAGCTAGACGCGCTCTCAGACCTATCACTACAGCATTGAGGGAACGCAATATCCCGTACAATTGGGGCTTCCCATTTAGCATACAAGTGAGACACCATAACGAATGGGTCGCTGCGCGCTGGCCGGACGAAATACCACGCTTTCTCCAAAGGCTGGACCTCCCGCCCATAGCAATTCCGGACTGGATACTGGAACCACTGGACCGAGAACCCAGAACCCAGAGACAACCGCGGACCCCACGAAGGGGCCCCAGGGAAAACCGCATACACGAAGCGCCTTCACACCCATCCAACCCAGAGGAATAGCCAAGCCCTGGTGACACCGGGCTCGGCTCTACTATGTCACCCGAGAACCGATTGCACGAGATGGTATAGACGCAAGCAGTGGCCCGCAGTCAATACCCATAGCTCACAACCCCTTGATCCAAGAGGACGACTCCACGGGATGTTTGGGGTGTGCACACACCTGGCGACTTACACAGTTTGGGTGGGGACTGGGAGGGACATAACACGCTCTTGACCACAGGAGATGGAACTGATGGTAACCGTTTTGAAAGGCCCAACTGGCCATGCTATCCCCCACCCTATACCCACCTTTCCATAGCCTATGGCCCACGGGGGTGACATCACCACAAGACTCTTTTGGGAGGGAGGAAGGCTTGTGATAGCCACATGGGGAGCCCTGAGAGGCTAAAGAATCACGGGCCGGCTCACCTGGCTCGGCTTACTACCACGCCTCCATGGTGCCGGCACAAGAGTCTGATCTGGAGAAGAACACCCATACCGGAGGACTCGTACCAACAGGTTCAGGGGGGACGATGAACAATGGGTAGACCACATATTATAGACCTATGTGGGGAGCGGGTAGGTGGGCGAGACTTAAGGGACTGTATTTGATTGCATGGGGGGTAGCTTAGAGCCAGCGGGACACAAATTGCCGGGATCCTAGACCAGCAGCTCCGAATTGGGGGGGGCGGGGGAGGATACGGGAGTGATGGAGGGGGAATTTAGAATCCCTTTGCATAGATACCTGGCGCAGATGGACCATAGATATAGGGGATCTAACTGGAGGTCACCGTGAGCGATACCACCCCATTCCCCTCAGGCCTAGATGTGGTTACAAAAAGATACGCTAAGGTGGGATGGGGGAGTCGCAGAAGGAGAATAGGAGTTAAGGGGTGCGTGAAGGGGATTCAACACTGCACCTACTGTATATATGTCCTATTCTGTGATTTGGGTGGGGAGGGAACGTACTGTAAGGTATGATATGCATTCTGTATTGTTCACCATGACACTAACTATGACAGCTCCCCCATTGAAATGGATGGTGGTGATCCCACCTCCCCCCAGATCCAGCCAAACATCCCGTAGACCACACGACAACCATGGCCCACCGGGGCACCGCCCTGCTCATGTTCCCGACCCAGGACTTAGCCTCGACACGATGTAGATTTTGACCCCGGCACTGACCGCGTCACCCCCAGCCGCTCCTTTGCTCGATTACACTACGTTAGTCAAACTCCCCGACCGACAACTCTCGATTCCTTGCCCATGCACTGACCCACATCACCTTGCGGCCACCCACACCTTATCGCACCAGGGGAGGGGACGAATAAGGAATATCACGGGGTGGGACCCACGCCCCTGCACCCACACGATATCATCTGGATAGGCTACAAATAACGACAATACTGATAGCCGCTGATGACACTAGATCAGGCCCATTACTAACACTAACACGAACAAAAGACGTTCGAATGCTCCCATAGTGGTGGCACACCCGCTAGGTAATCTCGGACTTATATACCTAAAACTACAACCAGTGAACACATCCTAATTTTGGTGAGGTCGTTAGATATTCTCTGACAGACCCAACTGCCGACTGCTGCCGTGGTCGCGCGAACCAGCCCTCACAGGAGGGATTTCTGACACCTACTTCTAGGTGCCGTAACCGTCTCCCTATGGGGACGGTAAACCCATCTTCACCTTCACACCCCCGCCTGTACAGTCATGCGGACAGGGGACTCTCCATACTCTATCTCAAACCCTTCTCTATCCCCTGCCTCATCCCCCCTACGACTCTGATCCAACCCCCCCCCCAGCCTCTCCACGATTACCTCATCCCCCCCATTGCCTTAGTGTCCATGGAACTCCCAAGGGGACGGGGCAACACTCGATAGCAGACACCTCTTAGAAGGGTAAACAAACAGTCAAAGGTCATAGTGAACTGCCCCCACCCACCACAAATGGCCTACGAACCTGATCCTTTAAGCGTCACAACCATGAACTGAAGGGGCCTAAATATCCCGGAGCGCAGATCGCAACTCCTTCGGGAACTATCCTCTAAGCACATATCAATTGCTTTCCTACAGGAAACACATTTTAAGGAAGGACATGCTCCGCTGTTGAAAAAGCAAACACTATCCCAATGCGGCTCATAGCAACCACCCGACTGCACGTAAGGCAGGCGTGGCGGTCCTCACCCATGCTAAACTACAGTTCCAGGAAGCGGAACGGATGGTTGGCCCTAACGGCAGATACCTGTTCCTTAAGGGAGACATACAGAACCATAGGTACACACTCGCGACTATCTATGCCCCAAACAACAACCAATCACACTTCATACGTAAATCTCTCTGCAGACTCTCCTCATTCACAATGGGCACGTTGATCGTTGGGGGAGACCTCAATGTACCCCTCATCCCGCTAATAGATTCGTCCACGGGACACTGTAGCATCACCCAAGGAGCCCTCCGAAGCATACAGAAATCTCTTAAGAACCTTAGGCTGGTGGACTGTTGGCGCGCAATGCACCCGGCAGACAGGGAATACACCCACTACTCAGTGATACATAAGCGATACGCGAGGATTGACTATATCTTTCTCCAACAGGAACACCTTGACGCCATCCAAAAAGCAGAAATTGGATCGGCAAGCTGGTCGGATCATGGACCTGTGACCCTACAAATGGACTCCCCCAGGGTGCGCCCATCCACTAGGACATGGCGACTCCAGGACTCCCTACTCTTAGACCCATTGGTGAAGGAAATGGTTTCCGAGGAACTCACTTCCTATTTCGCACTGAACGATATGGATGATCTCTCCGCGACCACGATATAGCAAGCCCACAAAAGTGTGCTCAGAGGCACACTGATGCGCTTAGCTTCTAAGAAGAAAAGAGAATCTCGGAGACATATGACGGAACTTTTAACACGCATAAATGTGCTCGAAATGCAACACAAACGCTCCCACCTCGAGGAGACATATAAAGAATTACTGGAAGCCCGAAGATCTCTACATGCGCACATGACGACTCGATACTATAGCTCCATACAGCGCTCGAAGGCCTTCTTTTACCAACACGCCAACAAAGGAGGGAGGCTGCTGGCCAGAATGATTAGAGGCCCCCAGAGCATGACCCAGGTCCATAAGCTACGGACGTCAGACGGCACGATCACACAATTCCCGGATAAAATAGCGTCCGTGTTTCGCACGTTCTACGCCTCGTTATACAACATCCCGGGACCTACACTCCCGGATGAGATGGCAATCAGACGAGACAGAATGAGGAGCTACATCGAATCACACGTGAGGATGCGATTGCAGCAAGGGGAACTGGAGTTACTGGATACACCGATCACGGAAGCGGAAGTAGCAGGAGCAATCAAGACCGCCAAAACGGGTCGGGCCCCAGGCCCTGATGGCTTCACCCTGGACTATTATAAAAAATTCCGAACCATACTGCTCCCGAAACTCACCAACGCGTTCAACGCTTTGGTAGACGGTGCCCAGTTCAGACCCGAATCCCTAGCGGCAACTATAACGGTCCTCCCGAAACCGGGGAAAGATCCCGAACTCTGCAGCAGCTATAGACCAATATCACTGCTAAATGTGGACGTGAAGCTCCTCACCAAAATACTATCCACCAGAATCGGGAGAATACTCCCGAGATTGGTCCATCCAGATCAGACGGGGTTCATCCCTGGGAGGGAGGCTAGGGATAGCACCCTTAGAGTACAATCCATCCATCACCTGGCAAAGAGGTCAACTGATAAGCTCCTACTACTGTCGACGGATGCGGAAAAAGCATTCGACCGGGTTGACTGGACATTCCTTGTAGCCACACTTTGGGAAATGGGCTTCGGAGGGAACATGATGAAATGGATTGATGCGCTCTACCATTGCCCCAATGCGAAGGTGAGAGTAAACGGAGCGCTTACCGACTCCTTCCCGATCCACAATGGGACAAGACAGGGGTGTCCACTCTCCCCCATGCTCTTCGCCCTGGCTCTCGAACCGTTCCTAGAAGCGGTGCGCACATCGGATGCAATCATGGGCTTCAAAAGCGGTAATACAACACACAAAGTAGCGGCATACGCGGATGATCTTTTATTTTTTATCACGGACCCGGAGGCAACAATGCCCCACTTAGTCACTATGATCACGAACTACGGAGAGGTCTCAGGATTCAAATTGAACATGAATAAATGTGAAGTACTCAACATTACCATTCCAATGGCCCAAGCAAACGAACTGAAGAACCAGTTCCCGTTTAGATGGTGCGCAAACCACATGCAGTATCTAGGTATCGCAATTACCAGATACCTGGGTGACATGTACCGAACGAACTTCTTACCATTGCTGCAACGAATCCAACAGGATTTGAAAACGTGGACATACCCACACATTTCGTGGTTCGGCCGGATCGCAATTCTCAAGATGAATATCCTACCACGGCTATTATATTTATATCAGACGATTCCGCAAGCCCTACCGACGGCATATTTTGCGTCACTCCGTTCCGTGATGGTGAAGTTCGTTTGGAGTGGGAAACAGGCAAGACTCCGACAGGACGTCCTCTGCTTACCTCGAGCATGGGGGGGACTGGCGCTCCCCGACCTCCGCAAATACCACCATGCGACAGTACTACAACGCGTCCTGGAGTGGCATACTCAACCGGAGCATAAACAATGGATCGAATTGGACAAACAACATATAGGCCCCTCCTTTCTGACATCAGTGTGGAATACGAAGAGGATGCCACGGATGATTTTGGAACCATCCTCTACTGTTGCGCAGACACTGAAAGCGTGGGATTGTATCAAAAGAGCTCCTCACGTCTCTCAAACACGAAGCCCGATGACCCAGATATAATACAACCCTCAGATAGGAGGAGGGCTACCGCAGGCGGCATGGTCCTCCCTGGGAGAGGGGGAATCATTCCCCATACATAAGGTGTTGACCAACACAGACATGACCCCCCTGAGGGACCTACTGGAAGGCAACCAACCCACCAGCCTACAAACCTTCCGCTATGTACAACTCAGATCATACTATCGGACACTTCCAGACAAGGAAAAGCTACATAGGGACTTAACCTGGTTCGAAACGCTCTGCGACCGCAAGACTACCCTAGATAAGGCGATATCCCTATTATACCAGCACATGCTCGTGGGGCACCTCTCTAACAACGACCAATTCCGCAGGCGCTGGGAACGCATGCTGAATACATCTTTCACCACATCCCAATGGGATAAGATCCTCATATTACACCATAAATGCTCATCGAGCTCCCAATATCAAGAAACTAACTATAAACTCCTTTCATTCTGGTACAGAACGCCTGACAGTCTACACAGGATCTTCCCGAATATACCTGACACATGCTGGAGATGCGGGGATGAACGTGGTTCGCCACTACACCTATGGTGGGAATGCTCACTCATTAAGCCATACTGGGACGAAGTTCTACAGAAAATAGGGGAAATCACAGGGACGGAAGGAAACCTCAACGCAGAGGCGGTTCTTCTGCACTCCACACCAGACCCCATAGGAACATATAGGAAAAACATTTGTAGACACCTAATTAACGCAGCCAAGGCACTGATTCCACTATACTGGAAACAAACGAATATCCCGACGATAAGGCAATGGATGGAGCGTGTGGAAGAAATATATAGAGCGGAATCAATGCAGGCTACACTTATGGGCCTCGAGGACAAGCATGTGGAGAGGTGGCGCCCATGGCTACTCTACATAGCGGACCAAAGCACAGATAGGAATAGCCGTCCGCAGCCCCAGGGAACCCCGCGCCCCCCCACAGATGGGGACTGACATCTGGTACGATACGTGCAATACCATGGGCACGGGCGATGGGACCCCCCGCCTCTTCACACCTCCCTACCCATCCCTCCTCCAACCCGCTCCCTCCTCATCCCCCCTCTCTCTTACTTCTTACTCATTTTTCACTCATCTTCTTTCTAAACTCTCCAACAATGTTTTATATACGAATTGAATAACAAACGCAGCCCTCCTCAACCCGAGATTGCTAACAGCTGTGTCACTCACTCACACTTACATATCAAAATGGAAACTAACACCTCTATCATGAGATCACACAACTCGAATAAGGCACACTCATGAACGGCAACTGACCAATAACGACGGACCAATAGCCTTTACCATCCCAAAGAGAAAGAGGCCCAGGGGTGATAAGGAAATATTAAAGGAACACAAAAGACAGACACAAAGTACAAACTTACGAATATTCCTCTACTCGAGCTGCAAACCGGTCACCCATATGAATATTCTAACGTGTTAACCACGATCAAATACCATATAGGTATAATACGTAACATTGTTTGAGTGATGTTCACACATTCTACGTTGGGACCTGCGAGTCCGTTATATCTTGTTTGCTTGTTCAATCTATAGATTCATGCTGTTGTACATTGATCAGGGCAAACCCTGAAATGCTTATGTTTGAATAAAGCCTTTTTGAAACAAAAATTTCTACTCAGCTTGTCATTGCCACTGGCAACTTGGTCCCAGATCACATGTGACTGCACAGACCATACATAGAACGCTGGCAAGCTTCACTAGCAGACAGGGCCAAGTGGATGGCCCAAAACAGCTACGTAAACAGATACCACATATCCAGATAGGCAAAAAAGTTGCAAGCATGATTACTGTTGATAGCTCACAGAAGTCATTGTGTTTGCCCTCTTCAGGAGAGTTTCCACTCTGCTTGATCAAGCTGGGGAGTGTGAAAGACCCCAACAGAAATCGAATTAATTTGTTTATGAAGCACACTTTCCTGTATGACCCACATTAAATTTTGCACTCTGAATATTAGAGGCTTAAATATGCCAGTTAAAAGACATCTCCTGAGCCGCGAGATCTGAGCACAAGCAGCTGATATTGTATGTTTTTAGGAGACTCATTTCCGAATGAGTGATTACCCACAAATTTTGACAAATGAGTTCCCCTCCCAGTTCCATGCAACATCCCCGAACAAAACGCGGGGCACCTCCATCTTAATCAATAAAACTGTCTCATTCCAGGTGCACTCCCAAGATATAGACACAAACGGGAGATATGTCATCATAGTCAGCACCATCAATGATACACTATAGCAAGTCTATACGTGCCCAATACTAATCAAATATATTTTCTCCACAGAATCCTTCTCAAACTGCCCAACATCCAACAGGGTATCACTGTTTTATGTGGAGACTTCAACCATGTACTTGACCCAAATTTTGACACCACGCTACAGAACACTAGTGCTAGATACAGGCCACTTAAACGCCAGGGAAAGGCACTGCAGAAACTCTTCATGCAACACCACATGTATGACACCTGGAGAGTCACCAACCCCTCAGAAAGAGCATACACATACTTTTCACCCATGCACAACACCAGCTCTAGAATTTATGCTTTTTTATGCACCTTAACCAACTGATTCAATGTGACATAAAACCTACAACTTGGTCGGACCATGCGCCCCTCACCCTAGAGCTGAAAGATCTCTATGATTTCAAGAATAAAAGCCCCTGGAGGCTCAATGATTCCCTATTACACAACACAGAGTTTACCACCAAAGTCGATAGGGCGTTGCAACTCTACTTCACAGAAAACACGCCACCTGACGTGACCCCAGACACAGTGTGGCTAGTACACAAACCGGTAGTACGAAGACTTTTGTTACAGAGAACATCTAAACTATGAAAACTATCTCAAACACAAGTAAAAAAAATGGCAACAAGAACTATATGATCTCAATGCCAGAAACCAACTGACATCATCCCAATCACTGAAAGGCAAAATTGTCCACTTAACTAGTGGTATACACCAACAGGCCATAGAAAAAAAAAAAGGGGTTACCAGCTCAGAAAGCTAAAAGAAACACACTACACCCAAAGGAACAAGGCTTGCAAACTGTTAGCTAATAGACTGAAAGTAAGACAAGCCTCCCATAAAATAGCATACCTCATCTCTCGGAATGGAATAAAACTCACATCGCAAAGAGATATTGGCAATGAATTTGCTTAATACTATGCAAACTGTACAACTTGAAAAACAGCAGCCACACACATCAGCCCTTAGCAGACGAAATCAATGCATATCTCAATAAGATAAACGATTCACACCTTTCCACTACTCAACAGGCAGAACTCAGATGCCCAATAACAGACCAAGAGGTCAAGATAGCCATCAAAACACTCCCATCATGCAAATCACCGGGTCCTGACGGGCTTGATAACGTTTACTACAAGAAATTCTAGAAAACCTTAAGTAAATGCCATAAGTGCAGAGTGATACTTTTGGGAAAAAAAGATAAAGGTACAGAATGGGGGATTGTCCTGAGAAAATATAAAATTTTTGGAAGGAGTGTCATCTTAACCAAATTAATCCTGCCTAACCAAGAAATTTTGAGACTACACCATCTCTGATAGGAAATTATATTTCCCATCAGTATTTTTTCTTCTAATTCTTTAGTTCCAAAAAAGGCCAAATTAAATTCCATAATTCCCAACACCACACTGGAGCAAAAATACTGTATTTACTTGAATCTAATGCGCCATCGAATCTAATGCGCAACTCAGTTTTTGAAGCCTGGAAGCTGAAAACATTGTTTGCTGGCGAATGTAATGAGTAATTATACAAGAAGATACCACTATACAACATTGTGCTACAATGGAAATATTTATTGCTTAATGCCACAGTATCACTGATTGTATTTAAATTTAAGTGTTACATGTTAAGTCTATTCTTTCTTAATCTCTCTTTCAGGAACGAAATCTGCCTGTGTGAATTAGTCGGCATGAAATTTGACTGTGTAAATTTACCAGTTTGAATTCGCCTGTGTGAATTCCCCAGAAAATGTTGAATTTTGCCCCAAATGTAATGCGTCGTTAAATTCAATGCGCATTCGAATTCTGGAAACTTTATTTTCCAAAAAAGGTGCGCATTAGATTTGAGTAAATACTGTAATCCACCTTCACTCATGGAGGGCTGTTGCTGTATTTGCCTCGTGGAAAGAATCAGCCTATGTAAATGTTATAAATTCTATCTGTAATGACACAACAATGAGCAAAGAAAATTTGTAAACCTTGGTAGTTACTAACCAACGGGCAACCTATCGAGGATTCTCTGAGGTTTCTTGTTTGTAGTTATTAGCCAATATCTGTCCACCTTTGCTATTGCATTCGTTTCTTTTTTTCTTTGATTTACTTGGTTTCTAAAGTTTTGTATTTCCAAACTCTAATGATTTGACTTTTGGATATTCCTCTCAGTTGATAATGTTAACTTTTTTTTGTGGACATTACCATCTGTATTCTTAAAGACACATTTAGATGTTACCTCCAGAAAATATATCCAGAAAATAAATGTAATTGTCTTGAAATTCAGTGGTAAATTTTAAATTGTGATTATTTGAAATAAGCCTTTGAAAGGCTTTTTAAGGCAGGAGGCCACAGGCTGCTCACTGTTTAGTAGATATGTAGGGGCATTACGTAAGGAATAATTGACGACAGGCCATTGAATTATTAGAAAAATAATGCACACCCGAGGTGGTAATGCGGTCACGATGCGAAGCGGAGTGGCCGTTACACCTTGGGTGTGCATTATTTTTTCTAATAATTCAACAGCCTGGAGTCAATTATTCCGCTTATTCTACAGTTACCACACCTCAAAACATTGTTCAGATGATGAATTTCTAAACGTTTTCAAGTTTTTGTCATTAAAACGCTCTTGTATGTAGGACTAATTTCTTACACAACTATAATGCGGTCAAGACCTGTCTGGAGCTACTTTAGCCGTGCGTCTCCCTGAAAATAATGCACACCTTAGAACATTCGTCAACCAATCTGATTGAAGCATTCAACGGCCCTGTAGTATAAGGAGATTTTAATCTCCCTTTTGTTAGTGGGGGGGGGATTTTTAGGAAGTGGCAAGGAGCACTGCTTTTTAAAATATTACAAGGAAGGAACCACAAGCCGGTACCTCTACTCTTGTAATAAACTGAACAAAAAAAGACCGAATTAAAATTAGTTTTTCGTTTATTCTTTGTAATCTTCATTCATTCATCTTTCTGAATGTAAAAAGGTTATTTGGAACTCAACCACAAGTGAAGGAAGAAATTCGATACTGTCACTTTAAGAAAATAATATTAATTGAAATAAAGCAATTTTGCTTTGGCAATCTTCTGTTATAAGATTCTAAAATGATAATGCATGAGCAAAGATAATCTTGCAGGTAATTGCTTTAATCTAACGAACGTTTGGCAAAATTAAATTAAAAAAGGCAAAAATAACTCAAACCTAATTCTACTTGGAAAATGTACAGTCGTTTAGGTTCTAGGAAAAAATAATTGAAGAATAGGTCTCTTTAGGAGATGAGTAGCTGAATCCCAGAGGGCAGACATTCAAAATAACTTCAGATGCGAACCAATTAATAATCCCAAGAACTGGAGAACTTATTTTGCTTACTGCGAATGATGGGCATTGAAGTCCTTTCCAGAATAGATGAGGGTTATGGTTCCTTGAAGTAAGTAGAGGAATAGAGGAAGTGGTGATGTCCATGGGCGTCCGCAGGACTTTTTCCATGAGGGGGCATAATTGTAATGACATCCATGCTTGACCCCTTTTTGACAGTGTAATGAAGGGGAGGGGCATAGTCATTATCACATAAAGCCAGGGTGAACAGATTTTGGAAATAAAAAACCGGGACACCCATTAAGCAAGTAGGCGAAGCAGGGCGAGCCACAGAGAGATCGACGTGCCACTGGAAATAAGGCCACTTAAATAGCGTTTTCACAACTATGGTGTCAAATGAATGGAACATTCTAGTCACAATAACAACTTCAATTAAATAAAAATGCTATGATGCCAGGAGACCCCTGGGCGTATTCTTTCCTTTAAGGGGTTAAACTGCTCTCAAATGGTTTAACCCTAAAGGCTTCCTCCAGGTCGCTCAGTGGTATTCGGCTTCTAAAACGGAGTGTCAGAAAGTGCAGAGTGATGTCAGGCATGGGTGCAGCTGATTGGCTAGAGTGGTCAGCTGGCACTCTAAGCCAATCGCTAGTTCCCGGTTCATAAAAATATTTTACTTTTTATCTGCTTCTTTTATACCCTTCTGCTCCTTTCTCTTTCTGATCCCTTTCTGCTACTTTCGCTCCTTCTTCTACTTTTCTTTTGTGCTCCTAGCTGCCCCTTTCTGCTCCTTGTAGACCCTTTTTGCTCCTTGCTATCAATTTCTGCTCCTTGCAGACAATTCCTTCTTCTTGCAGACAATTTCTTCTTCTTGCAGACCATACCTGCTTCTTGCAGACGCTTCATGCTCTTTGCTGGCCATTCCTGCTTCTTGCTGACCATTCCTGCTCCTTGTTGACCCTTTCTGCTTCTTGCTGACCCTTCCTGCTTCTTGCCGCCCCTTCCTGTTCATTTCTGATTCACTTACCTGATCTCTAGGCTGCCTCAAGTTTCACTTACCTGATCTGTATTCTGCCCCATGCCTCACTTATGTGATCTGTAGGCTGCCCTCCCATCCCTCACTTACCTGATTTGTAGGCTGCCTCTGCTGTCTGGGTGTTGCTGGCTGCACTTTGTGCTGCTCCCCAGCGGAATCAGTCGAGAGAGAAGCAGGGATAAGATGTAGCTTCCTATCCCTGTCTCTCTCTCCACACACAGTGCCACCTACTGGCCGGCACAGGTATTGCGGTGTATTCTCAATCTTTAAAACGAAAGATACCTACCAGCACAAATAGAAAAATCCAGGTGGGGGGTAAGTGCCACCCCTTGCACACTCCAGCAGACGCCCATGGTGATGTCTGTTCTGAAGTCGGGGAGTAGAGAGGTCAGCATAGTCAGGAGAAAGCCAGCGGATTCAGTACATAGAGAAGTCAGCATTGTCAGGAGCAAGCCAGAGGGTTCGGTACACAGAGAAGACAGAGTTGTCAGGAGTAAGCCAAAAGGTTCGGTACACGGAGAAACTGGTAGCAAATCTCAGACAGCAATCTGCAACAGAGTAGCAAGTATGTGAGAGGCACAAATTGATTGAGCAATCTTGATTAGTTCGCAGCTTTCTTTTGGAAAGGGAAGCACGTGGCGAATGCCCAAGTGTTCAACTGGGCATGTGTGGGAATTTTACAGTGCAATCTAGTATGTGCAGATGATCTGTCCCACAGGGCCACAAGATGGACGTGCTGGATGAGTGGCGCGCAGACAATTCCATTTCAGTTAATGAAGATAGCTGGCAAGATATGAGTCGAAATATGTTAAGGAGTCGCTCATGGAAGGCTTCCTCCCGCAGGATGACACCCAGGATTCTCATCTGCAGGACAGTGACACACAGAGTTGCCCATTGTTAGATCCCAGGACCATCAGACATCTGAGTTCCTCTGAAGAGAGCCTATCAACGCATTTGGCTTAGTTCATCCATTTCTGGATAAGAAAGCACATACATCAAAAGGTCCTGGCTTATTTATGAGATGAATGTCCATGACCTCTACTCCCCGAAAATAAAATAAAATGACGGTTACACCGGAAACCGACCAGGCGGTCATGGTATTTAGGTCCCAGATGGGACGCAACCCACGTTAGGGGATAGAAAAAGGGTTAAAGAGCACCCAGAATAAACCTGTTAACCTCTAGGTTCCTTACCCAAGATTTTTTGCGGACCTAGCACTGTCACAAGGAACCCAGCTCAACCCATGAGCTATATGCAAATTTTGTACACTGGGGAATACTAATGCAGCTATGTGCACCGAAAAGCTAAGAGCGGCCATCTCAAGGACGGACTTGGAGCTCTTAAACATGGCCACTAAGGAGCTTAGGTGACTCCCTGTTTCTGACCCTTAACAAGGCTCAGCCCTCCCTGAGACAGGTATTACGCGCTACTCCAGGTTGAGGTGTTAGGTCGGCATAGAGGCCATGCCACTAGTTGATTTTGGATTTCCAGCCACATGCCTGCCATGATAGCCTCTCCATTGTTCCTGATTTCCTCATCGTGGACCTCGTCCTTCTACAGAGGTGCAGACAAGTCATGAGGACCCAGGGCAGAGGCTGAGGACTTGGATTCACGTTTCCATTGTTCTTCCACTACGTTAACTGCAGGCATGTTGTCCCTTTTCTTCATCAGACGCTTTGATTCTACAGACAGTATGGGGCTAAATCACAGAGTCTACTTTGCCCCCACATCAGCCGAAATCCTCTGCTTCCTCTCTGTGTCTCCAAAGTACACTCTGATAGACGAGGAAATCCAGACATAGTTTTTCCAAAAACGCAGTATATGCACAGGACGTTGGAGGCTTCTTCAGCAACCTATTTCCGGCCCTAAAGAAAACAAATTTCCATCCGGTGATACATTTTCTAGAGTCTCTGGGTTTTGTAGTGAATCTCGACGAACTGGCTGGAACTTACGTCATATCAGTTTCAGGATTTTAAGATTGGCTCAATCTCCTGCCTTTCCCGTCTGCCTCTCTGAAGATCTCTGCTATCCGGAGGGAGATTCGGAAAATATTGTGAATGGACCACATCCCTTTTTGTGTTCTGGTTTGAGTCACGGGTCTCCTATCTGCTTTCATTCAGACTAACTACCCTGGACCTCCACATTACCGGCCTATTTTACGGTTGAAAACACAATACATGCGTTCAGGCCTCTTGTATGACCAGACAGTGCCTCTCACCTCTAAGGGTGGACAGAGCTTCGTTGGTGGCTCCTCGATATGCAGGCATGGAATGGGACGCCATATTTGGTCCATATCCAGTCTTTGTGGTGGAATCGGATGCCAGCCTCTGGGGCTGGGGAGCGCATTGTGGCTAGACAAGTTGACTGATTTACATATCAATGGCCTGGAACCGATAGGAAAGGATAAGGAGGCTATGCACATGTACTCCATAATGCCTCACTGTGCCATTCAGCATTTCCTCATAGATATGTATTGAAGAAAGGCATCTCTATAGGGAGCGTTCGGCATTTCCCTGCAGAGTGTGGAGATGTTGAACACCTGTGCTGCACACTGTGCAGCACTGGACTAGGAAGCACCTCTAGTGACCGTGTGAGTGACTGCTACTATAGGTGTTACTAGTCACCTTTTCTCTGAAAAGGCAGTGTTTACAGTGCTAAAACACTGCAGAGAAATACTAAATACACCAGAACCATTACAATAAGTAGTTCTAGTGACTATAGTGTACCTTAAATGTTTTTTATATTATTCAAACTAATTTCAATACCTGTTGACCAGTTCAGTTATATGTAAATAGTTAACTCACTTTGCTATTTGTGGTGAAACCTGTACGTCAATTATAGCTTAATGGAAACCAATATTTCAAACTCATCCGACAAATATCAAAAGTGTTTTGCTGCAATTACGTCACAGTTTGGAAAATCTACAGGGTATCTATGAATAGCGTAATCTTCAAATAAAAGGTCATAAGAATCCCACTGTGCTTACACAGAAAAATCTTTTAATAATATATTTTCTCACCCACTTAAGAATGGAGACAACTGTAAAAGTTCTGACCAAAACAAAAACATTTAATTTTAGCTATATTTCTATTATACCTGTATCCTATATCTATTATCAGAATAAGTACACCGACACTTATCATTATGTTCAGAAGAAATAAGGCTTTCATTTCACACTAAACATTTATATATGAAACATCATTTAATATGACTAAAATCTAAAAGTGCGCGGAAATAATACATTTTAACGGTGAATGTCATAATACTGTTTTACTGCAATTAAACACATTTACAAAGATGCCCACCATGTACGTGTCTTATGGTGTTTTTTTAACATTACAGGGTCAAATATAGGGCTTGTCCATTTAAATTTTCACACATTGAAAATTGACAAATTGGTTTGCAGGGCCTATGTTGCCTTTGAGACAGTATAGCAGCCCAAGAATGAAAATTACGCCCAATGTAGCATACCAATCACAAGTAGAGAACCTAGAATATTTAAATGGGGTATGTCCAGTCTTTTTTTTAGCAGTCACAGACCCTTGCTAAAGGTAGTGTTCATATTTGTTTTGTTTTTTTAATTTTTCACAAAAAAATGCAATTTCATTGTTGATATTATTGTCATACATTTTACTGCTCTGAAACATTTGTGATCAGCGTTATTTCACGAGAACCACAGTACCCCCATGTACACGTTTTATAGGGTTTTGAAAAGTTACAGGGTCAAAGATATGGCTTTCCCATTTCAGTCTTCATACCTGGAAATTTGACAAAGTGATTTTCTGGGCATATGTTGCCTGGTAGAGAATGTGTAGCCTGGGTAATAGCACTTCAACCACTTTAGCATAACATTTTCAAAAATAGGCAACCCAGAGTATTCCAAGTGGAGTATGTTGAGATGTTTAGTTTAGCCACTTTATCACATATGCAGCCCCAATTAGTGGTTTTACTTTTATTTGTGCTTTTTCACATACATGAACTTCATTTTCACAGAACATGTATGAGTTAGTGCAATAACTTCATTTTCACAGGACATGTATGAGTTAGTGCAATAACTTCATTTTCACAGGACATGTATGAGTTAGTGCAATACCACTTCAGTATCTTTTTTTATTTTTAGATTTTTTTAATTTATTTATAGCTGATAGTCTGCACAATAATACAGGTATCATAGATCTAACTGTTTTAAAGGAATTCACAATTATTGAGAATGTACATGATATAAAATAAAAGCAGAAGTTCCAAAATCAGTAATACAATTGTTTTGAGACATATCGCATACTGAGTCCTTGTATACAAACCGCCAGGTATTCTAGTTATTAAAAGGAATTATAGAATAGCAAATTTAAGAAAATCTCACTCCTAGAAAACTACCTTAGATCTTTTATTCAAGTGTTGATTGCGAGCAAAAATCAAAACCTCAGTATTTTCATTTAGCATTGTCTCACGAATATAACAGTAACCCCATGTACCAGTTTTGCAGGTTTTTTTTTTTTAAAGTTACAGGGCCAAATATTTTCTAAAATTTGGCAAAGTGATTTTCTAGACTTATGCTGCTTTTGAGGCAGTATGGCAGCTCAGGAAAGAAAATTACCCGCATGATGGCATATCATTTTTAAAGAAGTGTGTATTGCGGGCAGGGCTTAGAAGCCATATGCTAAGGTTACAGAAAGCTTGAGCTCATGATTAAACCAGATTTTAAAGCGATTTAAAGAATAAAAATACACTACCACTTGACTTAACCATGCTGGCACCCATGGCTGGTATTCTTTGGGCCCTTCAGAGTGGAGTCCAGATCTCAATATTTCTTGCTGTCTAGCTGTTGCGACCTCCAGTTATTTAAGGCCTTTTGCTTCCTCCACGGGAGACACGGCTGATCTCTCCGCCTGGGGTGGCCCTAGCTTTCTACTTTGTGAATTTTCAACAGCCCTATGTCCCCACCCCCCCAGGCTAGAGGAGGTTATCTCTGTCCACACCAAGCTCTGTCTACTACCCCCCTGCTGCTCCAGGGTGAATCCTGCATACAACGCTGCAACAATGCCTATTTAAAATGGCTGATGAAGGTGCAGCCACAAAGCATGCTGCTTAAGTGTCAGTGCAAAGCTGGGAAGAAGGATTCTTTAGGGTGTTCGATGCCATATTTCTGCACTTCTGAGGAGATCTGAGGAGACAAAAGCAGCAACCCACATGGTCGGTCCCTGTGGCCCAGCTAGTTTCCAGGGTTCTTGCTCAGAAGCTCCCCTTGAGATGGTACCTAGATGGTGAACAATCAGAACCAACATTCTTTTCTTTATAGATCTCCAGGCATGTGGAAATCCCACCCAACCAAGATCTATCCCCCACAGGGCATTTCATTTTTCGGACGAATCTGGCAAGACTTTAACAGGTAACCCAGACATGCCTCTAACCGGAACAGATTCGGAGGCTACAACCGGTGTTGGTACAGGCAGAGGCAGCTCCAGATGTGCAGCATGGATCAGAAGGGTCTGCAATGCATGTGCAAACTGGTCCAATCTAGTAAATATATTAGTTATAGGTGGATTACCTGTACCATCCGGATTCATGACCCTTGCGTAATGTTAGATGCCAGGATCCAGACAGAGACAGAACATAAGATACAAACACCTTTATTAATAGTAAATAGAAAAATGTTCTTAAACAAATTCCAGGAGGCGAACTGGTGTCAGGAACCAAAGCGGGTAGTCAGGTGAGCCGGAGTCTGGAACCAAAGCAGGCGAGCTGGAATCAGGAACCAGAAGTCAGCCAGGTATACACGGGAATCACAGGAAATGCTCTTGGAAACTAAAAAAATGTGAGGGCAAGGAGGTACTGAGACTTGCCGCTTAAAAAGCCTGTACTGGTTAGCAAAAGGGACTGGCTAACAGCAATCAGGTGAGTAAACAGTAGTGAAAGGAGCAGACTTAGTGATTGTCATGTAAGATTTGCATCCACAAAGATTATAGCTCCCTTCAGTCTCAAGGACTTTGTCTAATTGGGGGAGAAGAAATTTGTAGCCATGAGATTTGGAGTGATGCAGCGAGACAAGGAACTCAGGGAGGCTTCTGCCAGCATCTATGCCTGCATGGACTTTCTTTGTATGCTAAGGTTAAACATGCCTTATGTCATAGTACTCCAGCCTAATAGCTTAACACTCAGTGAGCCCAGTAAAAAGCTATTGGTGTTTTCATTTTGCTTAGCATTCATCTGGTGTAGTCCTAGCTTGACCATTATCCCACCTATTTTGTTTTACTCTGACTAACACGTATATTTTTCTTGTTTTTTTAAATGTGCAGTCTCTTTTGACATGTCATGCTGATTTCATGCTTCTCTTTTATATATTGGGTCATTGCTAAGTTGAGCATATGTACCACTTTTTAAATTAAAGAATGTAAAAAAAACAAAACAAAGTAGTGTGTGTATTGTAGAGGATGGCCCTGGGCTGTCCTGAGAATTTCGTGTATTTTAATGCATTCGTGTGAAAACAGCAAAGTTCTATGTATTTAATGTATTGTATTTGTCTGAATGCTAGGTAGTTTAATTCCCTTAGTTTGTTCGAATGAAACTACCGAACAGTCAGACCTCCCCTGTGTGAAGTGTGTCCTCAATTACCCATTGCAACATTGTTGTGAACGGGTAATTGACAAGCTAAGTAGCCATCCTTTGTTCTCGGTGGCTACTTAGGGGATGGCCGCCATTCGAAAAACGAACACGTGGCGGCGGCCATTTTAAAACTCCCGAACAGCTGTGTTTTGCCGTTGAGTGTCTGGAACTCAAATCGGACACTCGACTAGGCGAACACCGCTGAAACCTCCACAAGCCCGGTCCGTTCGGTTCCTAACTACCGAACGGCCCCTCGTTCGGTAGATAGAAAGAACCGAACGAGGGGATTCAGGCGAACCCTCCCTAGCCTCTGTAGCTAGAGGTTTTCGTGCCATTTATTCCCTGACTCCAGGACCGACCGCAGGGCCCATTCACATGGAACCGCATTCGGCTGTTTCACCCAGTGCGGTCGGTCATTTTATTCCCTCCATAAATTTCCCGAACCCCTGGTCTGATCTGGGTGATTTTTGGATATGTTGTTCACCCAGATCAGGGCTACCAGGGGATGTATGATTTAAAGTGGTACCCCTAAGTTTAGGGGTACATCCAGAAACGGGGGGAACTGGTGTGCTGGATAAGGGGATTATGATTCAGGCTGAGGGGAGGAGAGGTGTGGGAGGTTACCAGAACAGGATTGGCTACTGTACTAATGAATGAAAATCCCTCCCTTGCATGGGAGCAGGCTTTGAAAGGCCACTGTCCGAATAAAGCTTTAGTTATGCTCCTGAAACTGTGTGTCGTCCAGTTATTGGGATTGCTGTTGGGATACTGCTGTTATTTTGCCTGCTGGATACTTTACCCTATGGATTTATAATTGCTTGTTCCTGAACCTCCCTGGGATTCAAAGTGGAGATAGGCTGTGTAATACCAGCTCTCCGCTACATGTATATATAAATGTAAGTGTGCAAAGTGGCAACATGGCTGCAATGTGAGGGTGATATGGTATGGGTTATGTCATGTATGTAATATATATGGTATGGGTAATGTCATTATATATATAATACGCACAAACAAACATACAACTGAGAACTGAGTGCATATTGGACAATGTATAGTTACAGAGACATGTGTCCACCAAGTTTAGCCTTGCACACATCTGTTTTTTGCTGTTTGCTGTTGAACCAAAAGCTATTACCCTACAATTGAAAAATTATATCCTTGAATATTATGTTTTTCAATTATGTATATACGTCTGGTTTAAATATCTGTACAGACTCTGATAAAACCACTTCTTCAGGCAGAGAATTCCCCATACTTGTTCTTACAGTAAAAATGACATTTCCTTTGCCTTAGACTAAATCTCCCTTCTTCCAGTCTAAACAGGTGACTTCATGTTCTATGTATAGTTCTTTTTGTGAATAGATTTACAGGCAATGGTTTGTATTAGACCCGGGTATATTTGTATAATGTTATCATATCCCCTCTGAGGCGCTGTTTTTCTAAACTAAAGAGTTTTACATTTTTTGACCTTTCTTTAGAGCTAACATTTTTGATTACTTTTATGAATTTTCTAGTGTCATAATATCCTTGTTTAGAACAGGTGCCCAAAATTGCACAGCATATTCAAGATGTGGTCTTACCAGTGATTTATAAAGAGGCAAAATAATATTCTCATCCCTAGAATTAATGTCCCTATTTATACATGACAATAACTTATTGGCCTTAGCCACTGCTGGTTGACATAGCGCATTGTTGCCTAGTTTGTTGTAATAACTCCTAAATCTCACCAAAAAAGTATATTACACATTGAGAAAATGTATTTATTTACAAATCTGTTTTCCAGTATTTACCTCATTAATTAACCCAGGACATACTTTAAAACGAGAGAAATCTCAATGTATCTTTCCTGGTAAAATATTTTATAAATAAAAAAAATAATTAATTGGTAACTGTTTTTCTGTCTAGATAAAATTTGTATTTATGTTTCCATTTAATAATGTGCTATCAAGGCACACCTAAACAAAAAATAGTCGTATTCTGGGGGTGGTTTTCTGCAAACTACGTGGTAGTGAGAGAGTTAAAGATTTACTCTTCAAAACAACTTTAGCTTAATAAAGCAGTTTTGGTATATAGATCATCCCCGTGCAGTTTTACCACTCATTTCTCTGCTGTTCAGGAGTTAAATCACTTTGTTTACACATCTCTAGTCACACCACCACGGTCTGTGATTACATCCAAAAATAAGATCAATATATATAGACATGCATATATTCTCTAGCTAGTATATATTATTCATATTAGTCTGTGAAGAGTGTTGCTTACACACCTTAAGCGCTTCAGGAGCCCTATCTTCTTCAGGTCTGACAATGTAGTTTCCTATTCTTCAGAAAGGATAATATTAATACAAATCTCCCTTCCACGCATGTTTTTTTTTGCCCTCCCCAATCCTTAACACTTTTTATACCACTGTGGCTTCCAGGTTGCCTGTACCCTAATACCTCTGTGAACGGTGAGATACTTTCTGGCAACGATCATCGAAATCACTCCAAAGAAGCATGAAAGTCTGGCTTTTGGTACAAGGGAAGCTATCTTACATTGCTCTTTTTCAGAGACTAACCCTAAACTAAAAAAATAAAAATTGCGTCAGGAATAGTTAGGAGTTGATCAGGAAGACAGTTACAGTAGAAGGACAGTAGAAACAGGTTTTAAGAGTAGCACAGAGCTAGCTTGCAGCTCCCACATTATTATTATTATGATATTTATAGAGCGCCGTCAAATTCCGCAGCGCTTTACATCCCCTTCCTCGGCTATACTGGTCCACAGCGCCAGATTGCCATCTGTGCAGGCCTCTCCCTCTCCACATCTAGTTACATATTCCAGCCAGCGGTACCACATTTTGGTGTGTTTCTTGTAGGTGCATATTATCAAGGCCATCAATGCCTCTGCAGCCTGATCTTAAATAACCATTGTTCCTTTGTTGGTGGGTCTGTGCGCTTCCAGATGGCGGGTACATTCAGGAGATGCCAAAGTACGGATTTCTTGTACTTTGAAATTGGTTATGATGAAGCATGCAACATTACATTTTGAAAATCAAATTGAGGTGGAGAATAATTTGCTCTGAATGGGAGGTATCCCGGTAGATTTGAGGTATTTGAGGTAGCCTCAAACTCCCTATGTGGGATTTAATGGTAAGGGCGTCATCTTGTTGTACGTTAAGTATTGCGCAACCTCTCTCCAGAAAGTCTGAATCATGGGACACTCCCACAGACAGTGATACATATCCGCTTTGGTGTGGGTGCATTTAAAGCAGGCAGAGGAATCCTTCCTTGCCATGAGATGTAGTCTATGCTGGGGTGAAATATGCGTAATGTGTGGTTTTTTAGGAACATGTCTCGATAAGAAACCATGGGGAACAGTTTACTTTGAGTGTAGTGTAAGTTTAGGATGTTCTCAGGTGTGATATCAGGGAAATGACCCCAGACCCGTTTGTAGTGTCCAATCCGGTGTGCTTTAAGATTTTTTAAAGATTGGCTTAGTATGAACTAGTTTTCAGAGAAACACTTTACAATGTTTTTGTTTAACAGTGAAATATAAAAAGATTAGTTTAGTGTTAAAAACAAAAAAGACTCAGAAATTCTGATATTTACCAAACTTTCCAAAACAATGAAAAACAGGTAAAACACTGCTGTAAGAAATACCTTTTCACTAATATTGGGTATTTTCTGAGTTGGATGTTTGACTGTCTGAAAAAGGGTAGTAAAGTCAACTGATCTAAGCAAAAGCTTTTTCAATTTTCTGAAAGTGACTGCCCAATTTATGGTGAATCACAGATACATGTAAAAGCCTGCAATTCCAGAACAATACATGTAATATAGCCCAAATCACACTGTAGATTATTTATATAGGCCAATTGTAAAGCAAAGATAAAACGTGAACAAAGTATTAGGGACATTGTATTAGTTTCCATGGTGATTGCTCCACTTTTAGAACTTTTACCTATGATATTTTTTTAAATATAATCCTCATTATCTTTAAATTTGAGGAAATTGATTGCAATTCAGAATTACTCTGTGAAATCACTGAAGCATCTCAGTTTACAAATAATTTTACCTGTGCAAAATGTTGCAACATTATAAAGTTTTCTGTGTGAGGGGAAATGCATGCTATTTTTAAAATTTATTCTTACTACTTTATTTTTTCTTTTGAAATTTTGCAGCCCGTAGAATTTTGCAACCAGGGCAACGGCCCTGTGGCCCTGCCCACAGTACACCACTGAGTGCATGGTGTAGATATGTCAAAAGGCTCAGTGTCCTTTGTGAAAGTTGTTCTGCCTGATGCAAGATTTTTTAATTGGTTGGACCTAGTGGCATCTCTGTGAAGTAGTATTTTTTCTCTGTCTCTCATTCAGGGTTTCTCTTTCATGAGACCACATTATCACCCTTTCTGGGTAGTTTGGCAGTTTCGGACTCTAAGAACAATATTCTCTGACACATATCTCATAACTGCTCTCAGTAAGACACAGTGGTTGTGTTTTGGATCAAAGAAAACTTTGATTATTTGTCTATCTACACCTTCCAAATTGATTAATTAATGCGTGCACGCTTTCCCTAGAAGTAATTCACACCGGAGACAAAGTTTCTGATCAGTGAAAAACCCAGGAATGCTTTATTCCCCGGAGTGGGGGCTCCTTCTTAAAGCAAAAATACGTCACAGTTTAAACATACAGTATACATTCACCAATTGGTTAACAGAGAAAGGGGGCTCTTGTTTAAACCCCCCTACAGAATGTAGTGTCATCATTACACACTTTTGGATACACGATGGGAGGGGGAGTGAGTGGTATCTATCAGTTCTAAACCAATGATCCTCCATTTAGCTATATATGGCATATAGCTGTTAACTGGCACAAAGGTAGTGGGGGAGGGGAGGCTAGCAGGATGTGAGGAATTTACATAGTAAACAGCAGCTGACCACATTGTAGGGGGGGAAGGGAATATTTACTCTAGAAGCCAGTTTTAACATAGTGAACAGAGAATAAATAGACATTAGTAAATAGCCATTTTATTTTAATTCATCTGTCCATAACAGTCCCCCCTTAAAATGGCAATTTTTACTAAAACTACTATCTCTCATTCTAATACTGTCCCTATAGAAAAATAACAAAAGGCTATCTTGCACATCTGTCTGAACAGGCCTCGAACACTTCACTGCGCGGGTACCCCATAGCAGCTTGTCCACTACTTCTCCCGCGGCAGACTTCTGCCCGTAGAGACAGACGCTATCCCTAAATGTCCTTAAGAGGAAGTAGCTGTTGATTTAGTGCGGTGGGACTGTAAGGGTGTATGTGGTGTATCAAGGTCGATGTCGTCAATCTCTTGGTGAAGGAAGGTCGGGGTGGTCTGGTCGATTGTCTGATCAACTGTCTTTTGTAGGCATTTCTTAAGACAGGGTAACACACAACAAACAAGAAGAGCGAGGATGATTATCGTTATTAAAATGGCAACACCTATTTGGGCCAAAGCACCTTGCCATCCAGACATCCATCCAAACCATCTTTCCCATGGATCTGTGGCCCCAGAATTTCGTTTCAGTTCATTGGACAAACTCTTTAACTTTTCTATTGCCAACGTTACCTTACCATTAGGGCCTGTATTATCTGGAATATAGGTACAGCATGTCATGGTGTCTGGGAGTATTTTACATATTCTCCCTTTTTCTGCTAAAATCATTTCCAAGCTTATTCTATTCTGGAAGGTCATCTGAGAGATAGTTTGTAACCGCCCTATCCCACCATATATCCCATAACAAGTATAGTTCCCGGGCTATATAGTAATGCCTTCGTCTGGGTTAATATTTTTAGTAATGATTGGGTATTAAGTTTCCATGACTCGCATGCTGACCGCTTAGGTTTAAATACAGTGTAGAGACTTAAAACGCATACTTCATATCCGGAGGAAGGTTCAGGGATACTGTACCTGGGTGAGGCCTCGCTCCTCTGCAGACATAGCAGTTAGACTTGTTATGTTTAGTAGCATTGTATTTCATCCATTCAAGTCACAAGTTAGTGTCAGAGAAACCTGTCTCTACAGCCCTCTTATCCTCAAATATGGGATGACTACCATGTCTTTTAAAGTCCTAATGTGTGGTTTGAGGGGATTAACAGTCATGTGCGTGGCACCTACCCATTCAGCTGAGTCATACATGTCCTGTAAGAAAAAGGTCTCCTGTTTATTGTATAAACCTCTTCCCTTCCAATTCAGATTTTATTAGCCGTAATGCTTGGGAGAATAGATTCAAACTTAGTTTCTTACCTTAAAATTATTTGGTACCCCCCTTGACACCCCTATGGCATTAATATACATATATATATATGTGTGGGTAAAACCACCCTTTATAGGGGTACTCCTTTTTTGTCCTGAAGCATGAATGAGGTGTGTCAAGAGTACCTTGGGGATTGTCATGTGTTATGTGTATGGACATAATAACCTAGGCTAGGGCACATTTACTTATTCTTAGAAATCTTGTCTCATGCTACCCTAGTACTGGCAGATTCAGATCATTTAAACATTCAATATTAATATCACCACAAACTCAAGATAAGCAGATGATCTTGAAGAAGCTTTGACTGTGCGTATGGCACCTCAGACGTGAGGGCTGCAGGGTAAGGAGTATGTTTGTTTCTCTTTAGTTTCACGAGGTCCCCTTTTGGGGTATTCAGCTTTCCATCGATGGCAGGTGGTCAGGCATTATTATGGCCATCAAAACACCCACTTGTTGATATTTATTTATTTATTTTCAACAAGTATCTTTGTTCTCTAAGAATGGAGTTTCAAAAAGGGTTGTCAAGATCAACAAATGTTACTTCACATGATGCAGAGGCAGGCTTGATTCTGGAATGATGAACCCACGGGGTGATCTCTGTATCTTTCACGGTGCACTACTCAGCATGTGGTCTTGGTTATCACTTTGGTGGCTGGATAGGCCTCTGGCCATCCTGAAAACATGTCTGCTATAATTAGTGCATATTTGAATCAGCCATTCTTTGGCATTCTGGCGACTTGACTCCTCTGGAAGAGATAATGAGGTTTGGCTAGATGCTTGGGGCTTTCATCCATTCTTCTTGAGTTGCCCTTGGCACAAATGGCACAAGATTTACAGTAACTGTTGGTCAGAGAGGCAATTCCTGGTACTTCAGAGTATTTATTGATCAAAAGAGTTCATGAGGGTTCTGGACAGATGCTCCGTAGGCCCACTGGACCACTGCTGAGTATATGTTCTTGGGCAAGTATAACTTGAGATTGTTGAAGTACAGCCTGTCTTTAAGAGTTGCCCCTTTCTGTTTCCAGCTTGTGGTTTGTTTGTTTTTTTCTTTCCAGGGTCAGTAGCTTGCTTGTTATTCCTTCGGGAGCTTGATGTCTGTGGGTAGGATCTTACATGGTGAATATGGGAGTTTCTTCAGCAGACACTTTTCTGTCCACTTCCCTTAGTGCACTTACAACTTTTTGAACAACTTAGTCAGCCAGAGAGCTGCCACATGCTTCCTCTGAGTTCAGTCTTCCTTCAGAGATCTTGCATGGTGTGATGGGAGTCTATAGCTCAGCTTCTTGTGCAGACATTGTTGAGGTGAGATACTTGGTCCACTGTAGTGACAGCAAATCCGGAACAGAACATAAGAAAAAGGCTAAAAAAAAATAATAGTCAGTGTCTTATCATTTCCCCCCTTGGGAAGTGGCAGAAGAGTGGCCAGGTAAATAGAGTATCATCCCTGCAGGGTGACATTATCCTGCACAGAATTCGTCCATCACAAGGAGAGGTGGGATATTGCATGGAAAGTCTCAGGTAACCAGGGCAACATTCGACACCAGAGCCTTAACCTGTTAGGGAATAGTAAGAGCTTGGACAGGCTTTGGGGCCTGTATAATTCAGGTAAAGGTATTGGGGGAACTAGCTAGGACCCTTGCCTCTTGGTCAGGTTTCACTGTGTGGAACAAAATAAATAATAAGGTGATAGGGGCCTGCAAGTGGGGGAAGGACATCTGCACCTAGCAGATTAATTGGACAGGTGAAGGTAACCACAAAGCAAGGCTTAGTTAACAGGCTACTCCAAGGAGAGCCATCTACACTTATGCAGGAGACAACAATGTTAGACAGGAATGAGGAGTCAGGCAGGCCTTGCTTGGTACAAATAGATGTCATGTGGCCTGCTATACAAGGCTGCATATAGTTATTGGGCATGGGCCTTACTATGTACTAAAACTTAAGTTAAAAGAAAATTTGGGACAACCTGAAGTGATGCTTCTCCACAGATGCTAACTCATCGTTGATGACATTGTTAATACAGGTAGCCTGATCAGCCAATTTATCTTAGGCTTAAACAAGTCACACCATGTAGTGGAATGGGTCATTAGGATTCGGGAAATTCTACAGTAAAAGGGCATAGTAAGGATGTACGCGATGTTACTTTAGGAGTAGGCGTGGCTGTGGATAGGGGGAAATCAGCCTTATCCATTCCCATATATTATTCCTTTTGTCTTCAGTATATCCAAACCATGTGTATGTCCAGGCGTTGCAATATACATTAATCCATTATCAGTCATGATATTAAAATCTCATTCTCATGAATTAAATCAAAGATTTTAACTCAACCTCAGAAGCAACAAAGAATAAATCTATTGTTTTTTCTTCTGTAAAATGATTGGAGTTACTATATAATTGCATACACCCAATATAACATTGCATGTTCCTCACTGCTACATTAGTGTATTTCATTCTGCCATATGTGCAAACTTGATTTAAATTTTTATTTTAATTAACCTAATACTTTCTTATAACACATATAAAAACAATGAAAGACAGTACAGACTAACAATTCATTTAAAACAATAAACTGACATAGATCTCTATTCTTGTGCTGTTCTTAATTCTGGAATCAGCCTGTGTACATCTGTTGGCAGACATATCCATGCTCATTCCCTAAACTGATCAAATCTCTTGAAGTTATCTGATTCTTATAACTTTCTGTGTTATGCTGCATTGCTTGTCTGTCCCCTAATTTCCATATATTATTTTATCATTGTCCTGAAATTTTACAAGCATGGTCAGTCTACATGCCATTTGAGTCGGCAGCCATATTTTAAACAATCTATTCCTTTGTTCGTCATTTAGGCTGTATTTGTCCACATTTGACTCAAACATTCCAGCATTAGTAAATGCATCCACTGACGTGTCATAAACTGGAATACATTTCACAATTTTCATTAATTGTTCATGTATTTTCAAGTTTTGCAGCTCTGTCTTGAAATTTATATTTCTGCAAATCACTCTGTGAGGATACATTTTCAGTATCTATTGGTTCTGGGATTAGATTCTGTGTCTGTATTTTTCTTGTATTAACACATACTTGCTTAACTTCATTTCTAAGCTGGCAAATAAGATCATTTCTTAGTTCAACTCTATCCTCTAATTCACAGACTGTTTCTGACTGTTTACAGCATGTGCTCTCTGTTACATTGTTACACTGTTCATTTAAATCTGATTTGTCTTCTGTTAACCCATTCAAATCTATTTCTTTATCTGCTGATTCTAAATTTTCTTGACCTGCATCTCGTTTACAAATCAATGCATTGTAAGTACAGACTAGTTTCATAACATTTCTGATCTTTTGTTTTTTCTTATTAACAAACAATTTCTTGTCAATTTCACTATTGGCAATTTCACATTGTGTGTATAAAGATTGCCACAATACAGCATCTGAATAGCTGCTATTAAATGCAAACTGCAATTTACTTTTCTCTGCAATATCATTTATAAATTCCACAATTCATTTGTTCCAACAAAATCTAACTTTCCTTATTCCAACATGCCAATAACCTCTTACTTAACAACATATACAAGATTACACAAAGTTCCTAACTAGGTTATTCGTCCAGCAAATATACCTTGTTTCCCTCACATTCCTCACTGAGTTTACAAGCATTTCACCCATTCACCCCACCCCCTGTAGCCAATACTCATAGCAGTCAGAGCAAGAGAAAGCAACAAAGAAGGAGGGGGGAGGAAGACTTGCAAGCACAAAGTTTTTTAACCATGTGATTGCCTAAGCACAGCTCTCCTTAGGACAAAAGATAGAATAGGAGAGTAACGATACAAATTGTATAGATTACAATTAACATATATGGTACCCAACAAGACATACACAGACAAAAGCACAAAATACAGATGTAATTAAATCACAAAGTTCTTAAAATAAATGCCGGCTTATAATAAATCAAATCACACACACAGAAACACTCAAGCACATAAACCTCTCCTTTACCGAAGCTTAGCTATTTAAACTCTTGACCGAGTCTTAATAAAACAAAGGAACCGCCAGGTTTTTTACCAAACGAGGCCAAAACATCACTCACTAGCTTCTTTACCAAAGCTTAGCTAAAATAATTTTTTTTTTTTTTTTTATTTATTTATTTTTTTTTATTTATTTATTTTTAAACTCTTGACCGAGTCTCGCAATAACTTCTTTACCGAAGCTTAGCTAAAATAAATATAGAGCCAGGGGTTTTCCACCAAACCCGAACTTGGCTAAACCTGCAAGTGCTTAACCACACTTGGCAGCATTATATAACAGTATTAAGCAAGTAGTAAAACAGATTCTCAAACAGACACTTTCACACATAAAACTCTCACTCAGGACTCAGGCTGTAGATAGACAAGTGACAGGTTCTATATAAAAGGGGACATTCGGGCATATATATATTACCTGTCTGAAGACGTTAAACACCGGAAGCCGAATGTGAAGGCACGGAGAACAAGAGAAATCCAAAGAAAGGAAAATATAGGTAAGTAACTCATTTACCATATGCAGAGGTGATCAGGCTCCGTTTCCAATCTCTGGGAATCCTTTGCTCTCCTGTCTTGGGATCTGACGGCTGCCTTAGTAACGTATCCCTTAAATGCCCGCATTCTCCACCAAATTGTTTTGGATCAAAGAAAACTTTGATTATTTGTCTATCTACACCTTCCAAATTGATTAATTAATGCGTGCACGCTTTCCCTAGAAGTAATTCACACCGGAGACAAAGTTTCTGATCAGTGAAAAACCCAGGAATGCTTTTATTCCCCGGAGTGGGGGCTCCTTCTTAAAGCAAAAATACGTCACAGTTTAAACATACAGTATACATTCACCAATTGGTTAACAGAGAAAGGGGGCTCTTGTTTAAACCCCCCTACAGAATGTAGTGTCATCATTACACACTTTTGGATACACGATGGGAGGGGGAGTGAGTGGTATCTATCAGTTCTAAACCAATGATCCTCCATTTAGCTATATATGGCATATAGCTGTTAACTGGCACAAAGGTAGTGGGGTAGGGGAGGCTAGCAGGATGTGAGGAATTTACATAGTAAACAGCAGCTGACCACATTGTAGGGGGGGAAGGGAATATTTACTCTAGAAGCCAGTTTTAACATAGTGAACAGAGAATAAATAGACATTAGTAAATAGCCATTTTATTTTAATTCATCTGTCCATAACAGTTGCTTATGTCAATCATGTAAAATCCACGGGGAGAAAACATCAAAGAGGTGGATTTTGTTAGCCACCAGCATTAAAGAAAGGGGTCTACATCCGATTGTATTTAATCAAATTTGTGAGATTCTGGAAATATTGACTTTTTTTACTTTGCCAAGCTCTCTGTCTTCTAGGCGAAAAGCAAAGACCCAAGTGTAGTGCTAATAGCTGCCCTGGTTGATCTGTGAAATTTTCTCTTGATCTGTCTTTTTACTCCAACAGTCATGCTCCCTCAAATTGTAATGAAGATTCATCAAGAAACAATGGACGGGCTATGGATGTCATGAAAACTGCAGTTTTTTTGTCAAATTGATTAAAAATTGTTTGACAAGAACATGAACCTTATGGTGCTTGGATTTCCCCATTACAAAACATTTGGCTTATATACTAAGTCTGTTCTGAATTCAATATTATAGTGCCAGTTCCTGATTTAGCTTATGCTCAGCATAGCCTGGTTTCCTAATATCCCCCACTATTTTAACTCCCACTATTAAGTGTAATTTTGCCTTGTGTGGGTAGTAGCGTCACAGTACTCCAGTTAAATCACCGTAGCTAGTCGCACTCTGTAAACCTCCGCAGTATTACAATCTGTGAAACAGGCTGTGAGCTGAACGAAAAACTGGCATGGATATTTTTGTGTAGCTTGACAGTAGAAGGAGGTGTGTGGGTACCACTAAGAGGAAAGGAGGGACTGGTATGGTATGACACAGAAACACACTGACATGGAAAAAAGGAAAATATAGAAAAAAATCTGTATGTTTATAAAAGAAAGTAAATAATAAAGAAAATAAGGAAATTAACAAATTTAAGGTTGATTTTCAAGATTTACTTTGTATATAAGAAAAGAAATAGACAATTTCTCAATGAATGTGCAGGATGAAATCAACAATCTAAAACGTTTTATTCTGTTTTAGTGTTTTTATCCCACTGAGAATTTTGAAAGCCACAGGTCATGCAGGTACTTCCTTAACCTATGTTCCATTTAACCCTCAGCTTCCCCTAACCCTAAACATCTGCTAATCCTTATGACATCTAATAGTTTTGAACTCCTTCAATCAAATCCCAAATCCTTACCCTAAGCTTTCCACTTGCATCACTGTGAACACTGCCTGCATTAAAGGTGGTGATTTAATAACATGCATTATTAATTTCCATTCTGATATTTTAGATGTATATAGTATTTGCATGTTGGTTTGCAACTTGTAAACATGTTTAGGGTTACTGATGTCAACTCTGAATTCAGACACTAGGGATTCCCCTATGTTACAAAAAGAAAAGAAGTGTCCGCCAAATAAAGATTTTACAACTAATGAATATACTAATAACTTGGATGTTTACTTCGGTAATGACTCAAAAGTTTTAAAATAGGTAAAGAAAGTAATTCAAAGTTACCGCTCACCTATCTAAGTGAAAACACAAATACCTGGTATTCCATGCCTCCCAAGTAATACAATAGCAACCAAGGGAATATCAACAATGATCAGGAACACCTCAGAGCATTGTGATTCTGAGTCAACTCATTCATAACTCCCTGGTTTGCAAACCACATACACAGAGAGAAAGGGTGTATCAGATTAATAATATACTTCTGAATGGAGACTCAAATCTGTGAAATGCCTAAGAAGAAATAAAAGGATTATGGTGGTTATATTGCCATCTGGGAATACATCTTTTTGTATAATAGAGTAAAAGTAAATACTAAACTGCTACTATTAAGAAAGTAGCTTGCAGTACCTTTAAGTAAGGAGAGATACCTATATAGAGACAGTGAGGCTATTAATTAGTTTATTTAACACAAGGAATAAGGTTCTAACCCAGAAAAAAAAGCATAAAGGGTAAGGTACTAGGTAGAAGGTATAGGAGTAGAAAGTCTAAAACATGCCTCAGCTATAAAAATGTGTGAATTATCTTTGACACCTCAGAGCCCACATAGTTGTATTATGTATGGGAATTGCTGATATGAAAAGGAGCTGCACTTATTCTACAACTTTTAATGAACAAGTTAAGATTTTAAAAGATGAATTGGTTGAGAAAAGAAATATTGCCAATAATTTAGACAGTAGGAGGTTACAGCAATGGATATTGTTCTTTGTAAAACATTTTAAAGCAAATGACCCAGCAAGTATTTCTAGGCACATGACATGGAGGGATAATTCTTCAATCGACCACTTTCCTCATGTTGAGGAGGGGGTAAGCTTCCTATCCTAAATGACTCACATTCAACTTGATGATGAACAACTAAGTGAGTTATGGATCTGAGGTATACAAGATTATTGTGGAGAATTGTATATTTTTACAGGTGCATTAGAGGATTGCTGTCTTAAATAGTTGGACTTCCTTGCTTCTCAATGATTTAGAACAAGCATGTCAAACTATATAAGGTAAGGAGCAATAAAGAAATGTATGTGTTTGTGTCTCTGTGTGTGTGTGTCTGTGTGTGTGTCAGCAAGTATGTGTGAGTCTGTCAGCAAGCATGTGTGTGTGTGTGTCTCTGTCAGCAAGTATGTGTGTGTGTATGTGTGTGTCTGTCAGCAAGTATGTGTGTGTCTGTCAGTGAGTATGTGTGTCTGTCAGTGTGTGTGTGTGTCTGTCAGTGTGTGTGTCTCTGTTTGTGTCTGTCAGACACACACACTCACTGACAGACACACACAGACACACACATACTCATACTCACTGACAGACACACACACTCACAGACAGACACACACACTATGTGTGTGTGTGTCTGTCTGTCAGTGAGTATGTGTGTGTCTGTCAGTCAGTGAGTATGTGTGTCTGTCACCCACATAAACTTAAACCTTGTTTATGTGGCCCGTGCCACACTTTGAGTTTGACATGCTTGATTTAGAATCTTGGTTTAACACCAAAGAGCTGAAGATAGTCCAAATGGAAGGCAAGGGAATTGCCATTTCACTCCCTTCCAGAGTGTCAGGATCTGCTCTGCTCTGCTCTGTTCTGATGTCTGACCATGGCTTCTGGTATCCAGTACTCTTTTTACAATTCTTGTTTAGTTTTTCTTGGTTTTTTGGTTTTCTATTCTATGTCTGGTTTTCTTTATGCTGGGTTTTCTGGGTTCATTCTTGTAATCCGTCCCTGGATTTCCCAGTCTCTTGGATTCATTTAAATGTTTGTTTTATTTGCCACACCCGTTTGTTTTCTATCATTCCTTTTTGTTTCAGTGTCCTGCAGGCAGCTGCACAAAGATTCTGCCTTTTCTTGCAGGTAAGTACTGTGTGTGTGTTTTCTTTGGCTGGTTTAGCGAACATTAGGCAGAGTAGGACCTGCCAGATTGGGGTACATTGGCGTTGTTGGCAGGTTTATGCAATGAATGATCATATAATGTAACTAAATCCCCATGATTTTCATACATAGTGCTTAGTTATATCTCCTCTTGTTTTGCCTATTATATCTTGTCTTGTTTTAGTTTGTATACCCAGTCCATGTACAGTCCTGTCCTGCCCCTGTTTAGTTAATGTTCCCTTATGTATTGTGTACATGTTCTGGGTTTAGCTTCCTATCCTTCTCCGGTTCTGGGTTCTACTAGTTCTGTCTTGGTTTCATGTTTGGTGCCTTTTCTAGTCTTTTCTTGATTCTGTACTAGATACATACCTGCTGCAGAGCCTCCCTATTCAGCTCCTGGGAGGTCTGCTTAATTACCCTCTTAAGCTGCATCAGGGTTCTGGTTGTGGCTGCACAAACGCTGGTGCTCAACACCAGGGGGCATGCGGTTACCCTGCACCAGACCCTGCCAATCCACCTCCACACTGTGACTCCAACTCTGAACATCAGGCATACATGGGTCCCGGTCCACACTCCGCCGCCCGGACAGTGTCTGGGTCCCGGGCACCGGACCACTCACCCTGACACAGAGGAATTCAAGATAATTCTGCGAAACTTAGTGAGTTGGAATTGTGATATACACTGATCAGCCACAACATTAAAACGCTAATATTGTGTACGTCTTCTTCCCATAGTGCATCCTGCTGCCATATCTTTGCCAGGTAAATGATTCACATGCACCTGGCCATCTACCTCATCTAAAAGAAAAGAAAACAGGATTCATCAAACTAGGCAACCTATTTCCATTGCTCCATAGTCCAGTTCTGATGCTTTCATCACTATTCAAGGCACTCTTGGCAGTGGATATAATGGGCACTTTGACCGGTCTGCGGCTATGCATCCCCATACTAATCAAACTGCAGTGCACTGTATGTTCTGACCCATTTCTATCATGGCTAGATGTGTGATCGGACCAGATGGGCTAGCTTTGGCTCTCCATGTGCATCAATAAGTCATGGGCGCCCATGGGGTCGGTTCACCCATTGTTCATCCTTGCACACTTTTGGCAGGTACTAACCACTGCATACCGGGAATACTCCACAAGACTTTTTGCTTTGGAGATGCTCTGACCCAGTCGTCGAGCCTTCACTATTTGTCCCTTGTCAAGCTCACTAAGATCTTTTTGTTTCCCCTTTTTCCCTGATTCACACAAATACAATTAAATAACTGACTGTTTACTTGCTGCCTAATATATCCCACCCCCTTGACAGGTGAAGTGTAATAATATAATTAATGTTATTCACTTAGCCTGTCAGTAATTTTAATGTTGTGACTATCAGTGTATGCCTCCTTTAAAAGGTCTATCAACCAGCCATGTTAAATCCATAAACTAATGAATTGTCTCGATCTTGAAATGGTTGTACTTTACAAAAGTATTCAGGGAAGTCAGATTTGTTACTGCTAGGTAACCAGCACCCCTCATTATTATGTGTAACATAAAGTAACTTGTAAAGGAGAGTGGTTCTTCCATGATGTAAATAGAAAACCTCTAAATGTACAAGGTTATGGTCATCGGAAGAGAATGGATAGGTTTGGGTAGAGATGTCTGGTATGTTTGAAATTCTATTTGGTAACCCCAAATTATTTTTTAAACCCAAGAATCTTATGTAATTTTGTCCAGATATGCCGCCCAGGTTTTCTGAGAAACAAGGGAGATATGATACACCCACCTAATGATGTAATTGATTTAAAGTGTCCTCTTTGCCCTGTTGCTCTCCAAAGCCTTCCATTGTAGAGGGGAAAAAATAAGTAGAGGGATGAATATCCAAGAACGGTCTTCCTTAACGTACAGGAAATGTACTTGTTTTGCTGTATTAAGGGTTGGGCACCCCACATTTTTGGAGTAACAGTGTACTGGAGAGTACAAATCCATTCCATAATTTCCACAGCAGGCTAATTACCTTACCTGCAGCTAATAATTAGTTCTACCTACTCTTAAATAAGCAGCTGGTTAGTAGAGGGGCAGGATTTTCTCTTTTTGAAACAGTGTTTGCAAAAAGTTATTCTTGGGGTACTGCTTCTATGTACTATGTTATGGTTGGTAAGCAGGGTAGCTGCCCAACAGTTGTGAGGCCTACAAAATGAATGTTTAGTCAGAGCTCAAGCTGAAGAAGGTTTGCTTTTGCTGTCTATTTCGCACAAATCAATGTTCCTCAATAAAACCTAATACCTTTAAACCTTGTAACCAGTGCCTAAAGGACTTGGTGTTTTAAGGCAGTGTATTTGCATCCACTTTCTGTGTCAGGGTGCTGGATGTGGAGGTATTACTTCAATATATAATTCAGAGAATGTGAAGGAAAGAAATAATAAATGTGTAAAGAATCAAGCTTAAAAAAACAAACAAACCTGAAGGTGTAAATTAACAAATGTAATAGTTTGGAAACTGGGTTAAAAACTTGGTATATTGAGACCATCTATACCAGGAGACTGCACTTAGAGTAAGGGATATCCCTCTTCCCTCCTATGCTCATACACAGAGAAAATACACCAGCTCCGAAATACATAGCCAAATGGGAAAGCGAAAATGAAACCACACTGAACACGCAGGAATGGGATAAAATCTATATACTCACACATAAATGCTCCAAGTACCAGGAAACGAGCTTCAATATTCTGACCCACTGGTATAGGACACCGACTTACTGCACAGCACCGCCAGTGGTTTTGCTCTCCAAATCTGGTGGAGCTGCCCGGATATAACCCCCTTCTGGACAATGGTCAACACTAAGATCCAACACATTAAAGATACTGAACTGCCACTCCAACCGCTTCCCATGCTACTACACCACACAGACACTGCCCTAAACACATACAAGAAGTCACTGACAAAACTTCCTTCTCCTCACTGCCATTTAGTCACTAATCCCCACTCTGTGGAAACAATGGGGTGCACCTACCTTCCGGCAATAGACTGATAGAATTGGGGAAATATACAACATGGAGTCCCTGACGGCGACTCTGCGGGGAGAGCGGAGAGCTGTACACAAACCTGGGCACTGTGGCTGCGGTTCCTATCGGCGGGAAGCTGAACCCCTTCCACACCTCTTCGTCACACCCTCCCTTCATCCCCCAATTCCCCCCCAACATTAACCCCGGCGCAAACTACGACAGACATGCGTCTTGCCCTCTACAACAATCACGATACAAAGACAAAGCACCACGCTGTGGCCCCCAGACTCACCCCCCCCTCGTACAAACGTTATCACCGACACCACGAGACACTAGTCTGCAGTTGCCGTGACACGCACACACACAAAAGCCCAAGGAGTAACGCAGTAAGCCTTGCGGTACCAGACAAAATACAGATATCTCATGCTCGTGCCCCTGTTATGCACCTGGTGGGTCCAAATACACTTACGTCACCAGGTCTCGCAGGAAGTTAGGGGAGAACCTGCAGCCTCATTGACAGAACGTCTTACCGTTCCACCCTCACCAAATAGGTGTTCACCTATTCATCCCACCTCTATGACCGCACACACCCAGTGGGTTATGAGCATTCGTACCCACTTGGTGACACATAGGTCTGAGGGGTCCACAAATCTGGCACAGCAACACACAGGTTATTAACGCTTGGTGCGAGGTTACCGACAAGGCACTTACAGCTGAGGCGCACAACCCCATTAGCCAACTGAGAACAAGAACTGACAACACACTGCAAGTCTATCTGGTTATATGCGTCAGAACTTACTTGATCCCTTCCCCCTCCACTTCATGCATTCAGTACAGAATAATTGCAACCTGAAAGAAACATACTATGTCTCTAGCACCATATTGCTGAAACATGTACACGCAGGTACATAGTTACTTTCTTATAACTCCCCTATTACATAATCAAATCCCTAACTGCATATTGAACCCGATAATCGACCTCCAGTCTCAATACATTATTGACCTTACGTATCCCACTGTAACAGTCACCTGGGGACTTATGTAACAGTTTAACAGGAGTTGGAGCCCAGTTGCAGGAGATGGCACAGGGAGGAGGCAAAAACCAGAAGCGCAGTACAGATTAAGGGGAAATCCAAAGGCAGGGTCAAACGAGAAGCAGAAGTCAGGGCTGGCAGCGGAGTAACAAAGTCGGTAAATCAGGCAGAGGTCAGAGTCCGGTAAATCAGTCCGTAGCAAAGCAAACATCCGGCAGGAAACACAAAACAGGCAAAATGACCAGATCCTAGTTTTCAGGCAGGGCTGGCTTTTACAGCCTGCTAATTAGATGCAGCTGACCCTAATTGGAAAAGGGCTGCAGGTGGGTCAGCACTGCTTATTCCAGGCAAGGGGTCAGGAACCAGAATAATGCAAACAAGCCCCCTGGTGGACAGCATGGCCGAGAACCTGACTGGGATGCTGGAAGTCAGAGTTCAAACCCAGCCAGGTCTCTTAAAGGGGCGGCCACACCTTGCTGTCTGCCAGGCTTGGGCTGTGCCATGACAGAGCCCACTCACAAGGAGCAACCTCTGGGGGTGAACAGACAGGGCTTTAACTACAGGATCCAGCTCAGGGAATCCAGGTCTGTATAATCATCAGGATCTGAGAGTGTTGGAATATTTTGCAGGTTGTGATTCTTCAAGAAGGCAGTGGAGGCAAGGAGGCGAGAAGGGGATCCTCTCTGTGGACCACGGTTTCATTGGAGGAAATTATAGAACTGTAACAATTCAGAGACAGGAAAACTAAATTATTTTAACTGTGAGGATGGGCTTTCTT